GAATTAAATTAGGATAAAAATGTAATAATGTGATCTCGAGAGAAAGGGGCGACCTATAGCTACGTGGCTGATAAGATAAGAGCGTCTAAGGCACTAAAATTTGCAAAATATATATCACGTTGTAGCATCAAGATAAAAAAAATTGCGTGTCATTACGGTGTTTCTTAAAGTTAATTAAAAAGTTACATACGGTCGTGATAATTGAATTCGTTGTCGATATCTTTGGCAGCTTCTCTCGTCACTTATAGGGTGTGTTCGGGATCGCACTATCAGCTCTACTTACAATTAGCGCTGAAAGCGTCGTTCTGTCTTTACTGCTTATCGTGCGTCGAAGGAAGATAGAACGACGCTTTCGGCGCTAAGTAGCGCTGATAATGAACACCATAAAGTAATTGACAGACTGGCGATCGATATACATAAATTTACCGCGTCTTATATCGATCCGTAAATTGGCATTACGTTATCTGACAATATTATCATCTAGGAGTGAACAGAATAAACATTGTGAACCGTGAGAACACAAATTCGGATACGAAGACAAGTGTGGGAAGAGTCGACACTCGAAAACGAAACGAAAGCCTTCCTGCCTACAAAAATTCTCTTTGAAATTCTAGTACAAATCTTTCTTTGAAAAATGTTATAATTTAAAAAAAATTATATATCTTTAAGATGTGTCACAGATATGTGAGACTATGTCTTAAAGATAATTTATATGCGTCTCTCTCTCTCTGTCTCTTGTTTTCTCGAAACGGGACTTGGTTTAATTTGCAGGAAACGAGTCTCTCAAATAATTCTCACGTGGCGCCAGTCCCATTCTGGAAACAGGTTTACTCTTATTTTTTAATCGGTCCTTCCAGCCTGATTGTGTCATTCTTCCCTTTCCGGATTCGCGTCCGAATCGCGGACAGGTGAAACGCGCCTGCCAGAACAGCCACAGAAGAGATGTGGGTCGCGACTTACGAATCTCTATACCTGCAAAATTGTGCTGATTAAAACGGACAGGAGGATTCTAGATCCCGAAAATGTATCACGAGAGTAATCATCCTGTAAAACATTACATAATCGTTAGTCTTAAAATAAAGAGGACAGGGCACTTTGTGATTGTAAAAATATCACATGTTTTAATCTATTTTCTGTATGAAGTTATTTTCACCACACTTGTTCTACTAGCTTTTAACACTTGAGATTCTTATATGGTTTTGGGAACTTGAAACAAAATATGCTTATGCCTATTCGCATTAAAGTGGGACAGACGACCAAACAGCTCTTCGTAGTCTAATCTTGTATTCCAGTACCCTGAATATCTAAATATTTTAACGATCTGTGGCGGGAAAATAAGGAAGCTGTGAATCAGCATGGCGTGTAGCCGTATACGGCTTTCTTAACGCTCGATTTCTAAAAGATTACGATGATAAGCACCTTTGGGAAAAATAGCAATAAAAAAAAGTAAGGTGGGATATTGGGTGGCGTTATGAATGAAAGTGGAACGCGCGGGTCGTTCGCGGGTCTTCCTTTGATTACGCTTCGATTCTTAACTCCCACGGATTAGAAAGGAGCGCACGAGGGTTCTGACTGCGAGACTCTCAGAAGATTTTGCGGGCGAAAGTCTTTAAAGGTAGCTGAACGTTGACATTTTTGTCGCCGTCGCGTGCGTACATCGTAACCTCGATGAAATTGAGCGTGACCCTCTAAAATGGTTTGTCATAATTACAAATAACCGTGAAAGATCCGGACATTAGGGATCGATTAGAAAACAGAGAAAGTTAGCATAAACTCAAGTCACAGATATAAAAATATCATAGTAGGAGTAGAAGGAAAATAAAAGCAATAATTGTTTGTGGAAAAAAAGAAAAGAAAAGAAATATACAAAAAGTGCAAAAAATAAATTGTTTAAAAATGCTATAATTATTCTATTTAAATAAAAATATCTCGCGCGTGGTTGCTGTTAATAAACTTGTACCGAAAAATTAATGTAGAAATTCACTCGTATCGTGTTGTAAAGTCGTCGTTAAACCATCTTATTATTAAGGTACAAGAAGAGAGTCCCATATAATTGCAATTTACGACTATCACTGTGTTTCTAGAAGATCGATCACGTCGATCGACGTTGATGTAAATACCTTCTAATTGAACTTTCGAAAGTATATGCTAAAAGCATGATTAGTTTCTCCATCTAAAGACATTATTCATCAGTCAATGTACTGGTTATAGAAATATATGGCGTATCATCTTGGAAAGATTAGTGAAGTTCGCAATTTATTATACTTCCTTGATACGCAGAAAAGTGCAATATCATGAACGTGACTAAAATAATTGACTTTCTTCCACACGTCAGTCTTATCACAATTATTATAATTCTCGTTCCTCTTGAAAAACTAGAAATGCAACTTATGCCTTTATTATGGACCGGCTTAAATTTTCTGCTTCGAAATACCGAGCCTTTAAAATATTACATATAAGCTTTTCGTTAGTAGCAATCGTGTTCTCTTCTACCGTGCTTAACAATTTTTATTATTTTTTCGTGTTTGAGGAGATGTCGATCGGAGCTTAGTCGCGAGATAATCGGATTCATCGCTTTGTTATCGAACGCAGGGGAATCCGTTGCCACAAACGGGTCCGGAACATTTTATGGTTATTTCACGAGATTTCAAGAATGCGATCCAATTTACGATAACGATCCGCGGCGCCGGACACGTCGTATTTCCCGAGCTGCGAAGAGCGAAGACAACTGCATGGGGCGGATAAGTGTACTCGACTCTGTGGATACCGTATCATGGATACTGATGAGAGTAAGCCGATACTTACGACCTCGAGACACTAATCCAAGAACCAAGGCCGCTATTACATAAAAACCTGATTATGGTGTGGCTCGTAAGACAGAAATTAAATATAAAAATTCATTGCGCGATTACTCCCGTATAAATTAAAGAATGTCCCACCTTTGCATGTAAGTAAATATGTTGTGCGTAACAATAAATCGACGACCATTAATAATATCAATTTTAATTATTATTCCTTCGGTCTCTAAAATGTAAAATATATTAATTTTACAATTAATTTCTTACCTTTTAGTTGCGCTCTTAAAGAGCATTTCTTGCGATTTTTCTTAATGCAGGAATATAATCTGAAAAGAGTTTGTTTCGTGTAAAATTGTTATTACTGATACGCCTCTTTTTAATTCGGCAATTACAAGTTAAAGCCGACACAAGAGCGTTTCGTTCGTATGATCGCGATATCGCCACGGCGATAGGGAGGTCTTAATTAATTTCATTAAGCCGTCTTCTTCGCGCCTTCGCGTCTGGAAACGGCGATCGCCAGATCGATATCCCGGTCGGGAATTTGATTCCTTCGACCTTGCCTCCTCCTTCTCCCGAGTATAGTGCGGTGGCACCTGTAAATCTCTGCCGTCTACCTCCTTTTAGCCCGCGGACTTTGACAAAACGCGCCGGACGTATTTGCATACCGCGCCTTTATCTCGTCCGGCGCACGTTTGCGCGCATAAATCCATATTCCCATTGCAGTAAATCTGCGGCGTCCGTCGCAAACGCGATTTCATAAATCACAAGGACCGAAGGTACAACCCGCCTCCTTCTAATTGAAAGAGAAGGAAGCGTCTTCGGCCGAGCAACGCGGATCCAGGATACCTCCGAGGAAAAATCTCGGACAGTAATTTCGTTTGTTTCAACTCTCGACGATCCAATATCTACGATTTTTAACTATCGTCATGCCCTCTTGAGCTTCTGTATTATTATATTACAAAATTTATTTATTCCCAGAACTGAAAAGTCTCCCCTTCAAATTTAACCGAGGGAGAAGAAGCAATAAATATGGAGTAAATCATTGCTAAAATATCAAATATTTGTGTTAAACATTTATACTACGTTGTAATTTCGTTGCATTCAAAACTTTTGGTTTGTAATAGGAAGATATTTCATTCAACATATGCAGTAGATAAAAAGCGTATTTGCACTTTTAACTCGAAATAATTTTCCATGAGGAAAACACGTCGCTGCAATGTGCTTTACTTGATGCGTTAGTAAAAACAAAAACTGTATAGTCCGACAGAAATAATTTGCAATATTGGGAAACGTTTGAAGACATTGTGTCTTCAAATTATTCCAAACAAGATGGACTATACACAGATAGCAAAGAGTTAACGAGCAGATTACATTTACAACATATCGCGGATCTTTCGCGCTAAGATAATTAATGTGTGTGCGTGCAGCGCGATAACAATTTCGCCATAATTTACGTCGTCATTTTTCACACTTCCGAGGCTATCTATTTTAAACACTTTACGAAGGAAGTGGCAGTCGGAAGATACTGTCGCATGCGTACACGATGATTTACATTATCCCTTTGTCAAATCTGAAAAGACGAGCATTATACACCATTATACACTAAATTCGCAAGGATTAATCTTGGCTGTGAGAATGAAAAGGAAACTAAATCTTTACAACTACAGAGCAGCAGTAATGGCGACGCAAGAAGTAGGGCGGGTGCCCTCTCGCCTCTGTAAGAAATCGTACTCGATTTAATATTTTGTTTCGCGCTTTCAACTTAGAAGCAGCCAGCAAATTATACTCGAAGCGACGAGAGATTCAACGCGGCGATACGAGATGTATCCGAGTACGAGCTTCGTTTAAAGAAACAATTATCGTCCGTTGTTATCGCAATAAAGAAGTAACTTCAAGTTAGCTAGGCGCTTTGTCCACAGTGAGCGATCGCGGTTTCTTCTCGTACTTGTCGCGAACGCGTATCAAGAAAGTAATACGATATGCGGAGCGGCGCGAGCCGCAAACCGACCCGTTCGACTGTCACCGCGTGAATGATTTGGTACAATGAGAATAGACTTCGACCGAAGTGTTTACGGCGCTACGTTATTTCTCGGAAACGGCGCTCGGTGTTCGACGCCAGAAATTCCAAGAATTTCCACGATTGATTAACCTCAATAATCGGCGAAATTTAAACATATTGGAAATTCAATCTAAGTAAAACGATTGAATTTTCTCACAACGTTTACTGACAAAAGTTCTTAATACAATCGAGTCTACATACAATATTGGTCGCAACTATTTCTTTCGCAATAGTAACGCACAAAATACGACATATCTGAAAACGATGTCTCGAATGATAACGACAGAGTCGAGCCGTATCAAACAGCAAAAACGATGTCGCAGGGGGAGATAGCAAGATATAAAAATAATAATCAATTGACAGCGGAGATTCGATCAATCTTTTTCTCAAGCGACCGCGATATATTATATTATATCGCTGATATCGCTAATTTCGAGCCAATTCGTAACGCTTATGAAAGCGGAGAAGAAAAACAGCGTACGATATAATCGATACCGATCATCGCCCCAAAACGCGTCGTGAAAGACTAGAATGATTAAAAATAAACGCGTCGGGCGCGATTAAAAACGCGGGATGTACAAACCTAACGACAATTAATAACGAGAATTATTGTTACAGTATTACGGCGAGTAATGCGGTTCGAAGAGTGGGGCATCTCTTTTTGATTTCCGGCAAATATAATATTTATTGTTAAATCTATATGTGTGTATATATATATATATATATATATATATTACGTAAGAGACACAGTATGTACAAATGTTGCGACGCAGAGCTGAGTCTCGTTGTGTTTTCCAAGTTTAACGTGGAGAACTAAGTCTTTCTGTAAATTGCCTTCTCTTTTGTTTCAAGTAACAAATGAATATCAAAAACTTAAGGCAGAACTCTCTAAGAATAATGTCCGCTATTGTTTCGATAAATTGATATTTGAATATCTTTCTAATAAAAAAAATAATTTATGTAAAATACATTACATGCAACAGCGAGCCTTCGAAATGATCAATTGTGCACAATCATTGCTCGATGCATACATTCTTGTATAAATAAAATTATTAAGACGAAATGTTGAAAGATTAACAAATGACACGTCGTGTAAAACTAATTGTAAAAATTCTACTTACCCAATAATTCTCTATTCTAGATGAAATACTTGTGTTTCACGGACTTTATAAACCCTCATTGCGCCTCAGTATCGCGCTTATGTAATTTTTTTTTCATTTTTTCGTCATTTATCACAGCACAGCGCGTTACAACGTTCCTGTGTTCTACGTTCTGCGTACCTCAGCAAGATGGAAATTGCATAATTAATTAAACATGTACTTGAAGAAATCGTAAAAAACATCCAATGATAAAAATCCATTTGTTATTACGAGTGTGCGCGACGTTGCTGCCGAGTATATGTCGTATTCGCGTAATAATAAATTAACATCGCATCTTGTCATTACAACTCTGCTATTGCACAGCGATAATAAGTACAAATAGTGGACGAAGTTGAGCTTGCGGACGGATTACGATTTTTACGTACTGATTGACGAATTTCGTACAACGAAACATTTCTTGATATTTCGCCATTGTAGCGTCAAGTAGCCCCTGGTTATCGACCCTATTTTCAAGCGTATTTCACAAAACTTAGAATACGCTTCGTACAAAATTCCTATAAATTTCGGAGGACAAGAACGGATAATCTCAATTACGTTCTGTACTCGCGAAGAGAAGTCACCTCGAAGATCAACACGTCAGAGAATTTTCCCTGCTCGCTTAGCACCATTCGCGCGTGCTGAGCGCGAGTCTCTCCGCGGGCTCGATCTTCCGGTGCGATTGAGAATGAACCTGAGGTTTCCTCCGCCGACCTCTCTCAATCGGTGCACTCAGAGGCGAAGCTCTCAAGGTCCACGTAGTGCCCGTTCATGTTGTCCTCCAGCAGCTGGGCGAGATCCCTGCGTAGAATCTGGAACTCCGGCCTGCGGTCAGGATCAGCGTGCCAGCATCGGGATATCACCCTGAAGAGCTCGCTTCGACAATGCGAAGGCCTCTCCAGCCGATAACCGTTGTGCACGTTCCGCATGACTTCCCGCGCCGTCATATCCGGGTACGGTGTTGAACCTGAGCAGAAAGCACAAAGTGGTGCGATTATTACGATGAGATGTCAGCACGATGGCTCGCGGTAGGAAGCTACCGTCCACTGATTAGCGTACAATGCTTTAACAAGGTACAAAATGAACATTTTCTCCTTTTCCCCGGTGGATATCGGAGATTATCGTTGCGCGGGTGCATGTAGCTACATCAGATTCTCTGATTTGATAAAAACGACGAAGATGGGAGATTCACAAAATCGCTATACAATTTTGACGATACATTTGAAAATTATATTTTATAGATACATTTTTTTCTTCCCCAGTGTAATTTGTTATTTAAATAAAATTAATAAGTTAATATTCTACAAACGAGCGACATTTCCAAACTGTCAACGTGACACTGCACAAGCGCGCCCTTATTTTCATCAAACAACGAAACAAACGAACAGTCTTTTTTCATTTTTACATTAAGGGACGTTCGAATAAAAGAATAATATTTATTCCAAAGCTACCGAAATTAAGCAAGTCACTTGGGTCTCGGAACGGACGATGAAGGCACTTACCTAAAGTAACGATCTCCCACATCAGAATCCCGAAGCTCCAGACGTCGGTCTTCGTCGTGAAGAGGGAGTAGATCAACGATTCAGGGGCCATCCAACGAATGGGTAAGGCATTCCTGCCGTGTCTAGTCTCGATCACCTCGCCGTCCTCGTTGGCGAACCTCGACATGCCGAAGTCGGCGATTTTGCACAGCTTGTTGTGATCCACGAGGACGTTTCTGGCGGCGAGGTCGCGGTGGATAATCTGCGCAGCGAAAGAGAGAGAACCAAGTCAACCGATGAACGACCGGCGCTCGAGAGGTGCATGTTCCATTACGTGTGCGATTGCTTACGGTCTGCCCGCATGACGGGGAATTACACGCTATTACGAGTTCGGTGCAGCGAGTCGTCTCGAGAAAAACTCAGCCTTGAGTCCGAGCCCGCGCGCGACAAAACGGGATTCGCGATAGAGGAGAGGACCGGCGCACGTCTTTGCGAAGATAAATATTGTTTCAGCGACACGAGTGCCGAGTACTCGTCGGTGGACCCGATGAATCTAGCAATATTAATCCTACGTTATGTGCTCAACTGCTGGAAAGTAAGGGTATATGGGAAAAATAAATAAACGGCAATTTTAATTCCATCGACAGGTTCTCGTAATGTGACAGGTGAAAGAAGCATCTGCGCGGTTGCCTAGTCACCAAATATAGGCGACACAAGAAAATGTTGAGGTGTATGTAATTCGATCGCGGACTCTCTAGAAGTGAATCTGTGATCACTGAAAACATTTTGCTGCCATAACTATCAATTTCTAAACGGTTTGCTGTCGCACCTAATATTATACAATAGGCACAGTAGCACAATATTTAGCTATCACAACTAGATATTAGCTGTCCACATTTTACAACTAAAATTTAGCTACCACATGTAGGTTTTAGTTACGGCAGCTACGTTTTCTTTTCCGTGCACTGATTTACAGTTATACGTATACCACTGCGATTTTCAATGGTATACTTGTAACTGTAAATCAATGACTATTCCACTGTTTTCAGTGATAGTCCACTGATTGACTTTTAGAGAGAAGACTGTGGTACTCGCGTTGCGCCATGATTTGACGCAGCCTCTCGCCATTACTATTAATTATATTTTAATTATATTCAACGTGCATTCGGCCAAACGAAGTTTCGCTAAGCGACTCCGAAAAGCCACAAACGACAAATCAGGACGACAATTATTATGCGCAACGCGGCTGATGCAAATACGACGTTACGAAACGTCGGGCGTATCAGCTGTGCGCTCGTCGCTGAAAATTCTGCTTAAATGCAACAGGCGCATCTAGAATGCATCCACGCACATTCGCAGCTGGTACGGCACGCGTACACTATCATTTAGCGACTACGTAATTGTCTATTAACTCGGGAGAATAATTTTTGCTGCGCCGTTTCCTGGAAACTATTATACAAACGGAAACTGGTAATTCGACATTTGACGGGAACGATCGGGCGCTCGCAGGAAGGCTTCGGGCTCTTTGTTTCCCTAATTGCCTATTAATCGCCAGGTGTATCCTCCTCGGAGTCGCTACGTGCACTTCCGCCAGCAAGTGCAAATTTTCCTCTTCCTCTCCGCGACGCGTAGTACGTGCCGTTCTAAGAGGGAATTTCTGAATGAAAAAAAATATTTACTCCGCGTCATTTACGAACGTCCTCGTTTTAATCGATGATTCCGCATCGAGCGGAATAAATTAGCACGCCTGTTGCGCACAAACTTTCGTCTCGGCTGTTTGCACGAAATGTTGGCAGAATTTTTGGGATACCGGTTCGCATCGGCGATACTTGTATCGCATGGCAAACATTCGGTCGACTATATGTTAATTTTTGTTTATCGCGGCTGCGTATTACGATCCTGAATATATTATCCAAAGCCAGTTGATCGCCTACCAAAGCATTTCGTAATAAAAGTAAATCATCCGCGTATAAATAGAAATGTATACTAAATACGTCATGTTCCTTAGCTTAATTAATAGCGATATAAAAGTTTAAAAGTCAAAATTGTTTAGTGCAATATTAATATTTACGTGTCAAAATTAAAAATAAAATTATTCTTCTTGCGAGGACAGCGAAAATCTCTATAATTTAAGAGTTAATCAATGTTTCCTCGATGACATACAAACAACATAAAATCTCTGTCCATATTTCACTACTAATATGCAACATCTTAGTCGCGAAACTAATCAGATCGCGTAGATTGTAAAAACGCTATTGAGGGCCATTTATCGCTCTCGAATCGAATAAAGAAACACTGGACGGATATCCTCCAACTCGCTCTTTATGAGACATAAAACTCAATCTTTGCCTAGTGACACAGATCTCCGGACAGGAACGATCCTTTCGCGAATACGATGTTGGTACGTTTTACGACTGTGTGAAAATGTTTGAGTTTAAACATCATTAGCGGATTATTTGTCGTTGTCGCAGTCGATGCTCCCCGCAACCTTCAAGGTAGGCGTCAGATGTCCTCGAAGGACTCTCACTTTTCATTTTTTTTCACAAAGTATGTAAAAATTTAAACGAGGTCTTTTTTTTAGACCCATCTATAAATAGACAGAGATGGAATTTAATCGAATCAACAATTAAATTTTCCTTGATAAAAAATTATAAATAATTAATAACTCAAAAAACTTTAAACAAAATTAATACAGTATATTGGAAAGAATTATGTTTCCTAAGCGTTAAAACAAAAATTTTTACTCGACAGCAAATCATCAAATGCATCGCTATTCTCTAATGTATCTAATTGCAAATATTTATTTCAAATGCATAAAAAATAATTAATACCAAAACTTATATCCTTCAACGAGTATTCGGGATGATATCCCGAATGAATAATCGGTTGGCCGATACTTACGACATAGGGGGGCTCGTTAAGTCGTGGGGAGATTAAGGAGAAGGCCTCTATCTAAACATTTTAAACGACTGCGGTGCGTATCGAGGTGTCGCGCCGAAATTTATCGCGATTCGTTTCCCCTTTTGTTTAGCGGTCGCACCATCTTATCCTGTCGGCGGTATGTAACGCAAAGAAAGAAAAAAAAACGAAGAAAACTCGCGAGGAATGAACTGCCCAGCAATTGTCAAGCGATCAAGCTTGAAGCTACTTTTTCTCCTGCGGCGAAACAACAATTATTTATGTCGAGAAAACTGGAGGACCTTCGCTTCACAAACGCGTGGTAAAGAAAAATTTATTAGCACGCATTATTGCACATCGATCTCGCATCATTGATATAATGTCATTGAGGACTGGCAAGATCTCGGCATAATATTGCAAGATTTTATTATTTTTATTGTGGAAGGGATTTTTTTCCTCTTTGGCGGACGACAATTAGTTACATCGAGACTTTGCAAACTTTTACTTACAAGTAAATATCTTGAATAAAAATGTATCAAAAAATTAATATGATACTATAATAGCCTAGTGATTGAATTGGAAGAAAGTTTTGAAATTATAGAACATCAAAGAAAGGTGCACAAAAACGAGAAGATGTACACTGGACGCATCAATTCCATAAAATTTTTAATTATTGTAATGAAATTTATTGTGATTCGTCTTTTCTCGATTTCTTTTTATGGAGTTGTAATGAACCTCATCACGCGCGCCGAAGAAAGTCGGAAAGGAAAGCGAAATAGAATGTTGGTTATTCTATGCGGGCAGATCGTATGGGAAAGAAGCCTTTGCGTTCATAAATATGAAATGCGGAAATTAAAACATGTCAGGTGCTCCCACGAACTTTGAAGTTAACAGAGATTCAACTGATTCTCAATCTAATTGTATTATTAGAGAGAAAAACGGTTAAATCTGGATAAACTCCAATGTTCATACTGAGAACTGTCTTGAAAACACTCGTACCTTTTTTGATGCAAGATACTCCATGCCTCTGGCCACGCAATATCCGAAAACCGTGAGATCCCTAGATGTCAAGGCCGCCGAATCCTCGCTGAAGTTGTAAAAGTACTGTCTGGTGCGGTGATCACGCAGGTACGCGAGCAATTTGCCGTACATGACGTACTCCAGTATGAGATAATGAGGCTCTGCAATCAGAGAAAATCATTAAACCGTTTATGTTCATTCATGGAAAAACGCATTGGAGCGTATCGCTGGTGCGTTTCGAATAAGGGGATCTGCATCAACGAAGAATAGCTCTTATTCATCAACTCTTACTCATGATTCAAATGAGTAACGCGATTTTTAAGGGACGAAGCGAACGTAGAATTACGAGGTGCGCCGCGTGCATGGATTTGCTTCAATGACGATTTACCATTCAAGGCACACTTTATCGCGGTCCAATAAATTGAAAACATCGCCGTGTGCGTAGAGAAAAACAGCATTTTCTCAGGCATCAGTTATACTTTCCAAGGTCGAATTTTACCGACTGTATTGGCACGATCTTTGTTGCAACGTAGTTGTAAGAGACGTTAAAGTAATCTTCTTCTTGACACGCTTAAATTGCAAATATGTAAATGAATCTCTGTGTCATAAAATTATAATTTTATTGAATTAAATAATTCATTTAAATATCGCATATTTAATATCCGAGAAAAAGGATTAATTGCAATTTGTACAGTTATTTGTCATTATTGATTAAATGTCACATTTCATCGAAGTAACATTTTCGAATGTTCAATATTTAATAATTGCTTTATTGCAATTACATTTTATGTAGAATTTATTGAATTCTATTACATCTACTTGCAATGCTTTCGTCGTAACGACGACACTATAAAACGGTATACGGGTGATTAGCGAAACACACGATGAGGATGTTGGAGAAATATTTTACGTTCGTAATTTAAGAGATGAACACTTGGAACAGCCCTCGCTTAGGTAGTACGCGCTTGATTGTAACTTATGGAGCCACTTTTGTCGGCGTGTCGAATCGTAATTCTCATATTAGGCTGATATTAACATTCTCCCTAATAATTCTTGTTCACCAAGTAGCGTATGTATCGCGCACTCCTCGCTCCGAATTAATTGCGTCAGTATGTTTCTCAAAGTGGATTAAACGTAATGCTTACAATGCATGTTTCGATCGTATTAAGTCGTGCGTTATTAAACGTGTATTAGCAATTTAGTATCGTGACACTGCGCTGAATAAGTTGTGTCGCAATTACCATGCTATACTGCACGCCTATACACGAGCGTCGTATCGGTAAGCTTTAATTAAATCCGACAGAAATTGTCGATAAATGGAAAAGTACAAATAAAAAGGTCATTGTTAAACTTCCAATTACGCAAGAACTTATTGAAAGAAAGACGAGAAAGATTATCTTACAAAATTATTGTGCAAAATCACTCTTAAAAATTAAAAAGTTCTAATTTTTCTACCTTCATCCGCGTGATCGATTAGTTAACAATGAAAATCAATGGTTTCGGACATTTATATATATTATCCATGTAACTAATATGCTATAGAGAATTGCAATAAAAAATGTGGAATTAAAGCAAAGCTTTATATTAAAAAAGTGCATTCCAAGCGCAATGTCAGTTATTATCGTGTTAGCATAATATGTCGAAGGTCCATTGTCAAATATGCGCGTTGAATTCGCACTTAAAATTCTACATTGCAACTTTTCCGTCGCAAAAATCGCGGATCCGCGCCTATGTCGATCGATATGGCACGCGCAAGATACAATAGCCGTGACGAATGCAAAGCAATACGAATGCGGAACGGCGATACGTGGGCTGTGGTATCGTTCACGTTTCATTTTCACGTAGATCATATTTTGCGCGTGCAATATTGATAGGAACGCATTCGCGAAACGACGAAGCGACAATACAGACCGACGCGTTGGAACGAGTTTCTCTCGAGTCTCTTTTTAATTTTACATCATATGCAAATTATTCGGAGATAGTTGACTGTAAACAAAGTTATAAACGCGCTGGCATCGGAGACTTCGACGCAAATCGAGTTTTTAAATCACAAAGTATCTACAATGACGTACAATTGATTCCGTGAATTTGAGGACAATTCGTTTCTGAGATGAAGATAACGCGAAATATCAGAAACTCATTTAATGACAAGTTTCGTCGCACAGCGAAATGTAAAATCTAAACCTAGCCGTGCTATCAGTCTCTTAAACTTCCAGAATGTTATACGCATGAAAAACTCGTGCTAAAAAGAAGATTCGCACACTGCGTTCCTGAGATCGCAGGTTTTAAAGAATGCCGCTCCTTAATGTTACTCCTATTTCATACGTCGTGAAAGCAAATAAGCCGAAACTTGATTAGGGTCGAAAGAAAAAATACGAATGATGGCTAAATAAGAGAAGCTCGTCATTTTTATCGAATACGAAGCATTTTTTGAGACAAAAAGGAAATTGCTTTACGATAAAAAAATTTAACACAATCCTGATGATGTCTTCATCAGGCGTTAATGCGAGAATTTAATGCACGCGATAAGGAGGAAAATATAATCAGTTTAATTTGTGTTTCTAAAATCGACGAAATAAAAAAAATTTTCTTCAATTTATTCGAAATATGAGACTTTGTCGAACTTGTAATATATCTACACTCAGCCCCCTTAATAATTTTCTTAGCCGAGGAACGACTGTTCGACATCAGGTTTATTTTCGTCTGAACGGCGATCGTAAAACGGTCAAAAGACTTTCCTTTGACGAACGTCGCCGGAAAGAAATTCGGACGTGGCCGCAAACGATAAATGCGGTGGGGCCGAAATTTAAATGTCGTAAATTTTATACGGTGGCTCGTCTCGCGTTCCTGGACCGCCAGGAACTTTCCACGTTCGCCATTGTGCGAGGGTAAAGCTGCAGAGAGACCCTTTAAGGCCCACACCTTGAGGTGCGTCAGCGACGCCCGAAACGCAGACACACCTCTAAAGTCCGCGATTTGCCACAGCAATTATCTTGACCTTTACTGCGCCCACGATGAGTATTTTATCATTACGATTGCGGGCTCACTGAACGAACATCTTTCCTTGCCGAGTTTATTTCTCGCCCATCTTCCCTAAATGATCTTTTTCAATGCTCAAGTGTTCATTAGCTCTATCCCATTTTATTTCGCTATTCATGAGGGTAGAAAACAGTTGATTTATTGTAAAAGATTATTAATTGACGACACTTCATTAATTGAAACAAATAATGCCATCGAAATGTCAAGCTTAAATGAGTCCATCTGCTCGGATCGTATCGTTGCTCGCCTTTTTATTTAGTTTCCGCGAACGGTACGGCCGTATCGCGAGGATACCTACTTAATAAACGTATTGTGCCGCGAACAGGCACTTCGCAAAGATGCATATGGAAATTTATACGAACGATGAGAATGACGATACTGAACAGTGCGTGGAAGAACAGACGTATTATAGTCTCTGCCTCTCCGTGATTCATCTCGATCTATCTCACATTCAAAATTGCTTCAACTTTTTGGACGGTTCTACCGCAAATTCCTCGTAAAAAAATTCAATGAATTAATTTTCAATCTATAATAAATATTTTTTTCGTACGTCAATTGTTAAATTCAAGAATAAAAAGTAATACGCACGCAATACTGTGCGTAAGATTTCAGAAATAATAATTATCATATCTTTTGCGTTTAAATTTGAGATATTATCATATACAATACGGTATATTTGATTAAAATTATTTTGATAGAAAAGCGTAAAGAGTATAAGAGATATAGAGTTAAATGGCACATGTGAAATAATATATTTTTAACAGAGTTTTATAAATTATTTACTGCACACAGAATTTTGCGTATGTTTCTTTTCTACGCGGAATATTATTAAAATTCTAGAAACATGTAATTAATTTCGCAGTTTCGTAATAAAGATCAATCTTCATACGAGTATAAGTAATTCATTTATCCGTAAGGAAATTATTTGCCGATTCGTTGCGCGTACGCTTTCGATAATGATCCCTCAGCACATCAAGCTTCTTCAATTACTTGATCCGGTATTGTGGAAGCAGAATGTTGCAATTTTTAATCAATGAAGACACGATAAAATAACAGAGAGCCATCCGCGCGCATCAATTATACTTTTATTTGCAAACAGATGCAATCGCTGATATTTTTACGCAAACTTATGTGATTCGTATGAGGAAACAATTGCGTCATATCGAGTGGAAAATTGATTTGGCTAAAAAATATTAACAACTCCACTTACGTCCATGAAGCCAGATTTCGAAACAGACTATTCTGATTTAACGTCAAAGACACAACATTGCAGGAAAAATACATAATATATAAATTGTTTACACGACGATTTAATTTGCAGCTGTCAAGTTTGTGGATGTTAACTGCAATTATGGCGTAGATAACGACACAACGAAACGGATAAATCTGCCTGTGCGAGACAAAGCGATTCTCACGCAATTATCATAATGGCTGTCTAATTTATCGTCCAAGCGCGTACAATCGCAGTAAAGACAAACATTTTCACGTTGACCGTTTAATCGTTCCCGTGTACCCAACTGTCTTCTTATGCAACCATTTAAATCATATGAACGGGACACTCGACAACAATAAAATACGCAAAGTGCATTTTGCACATTCTACACGCGCAAATTATCGATTGTCTATGTAAATAAGTGATTTAGAGAAGCGATAAAAATTTTTTTCAAGGCAGTTATAATTTCGGCGAGTCTCAGAATTGCAAGTGAATAAAGTCATGCGTGAGTGGGACGAGATAGCGATAGAGATTTGTCATTTTATTATATTTAATTATTTATTAACTGCACGGGATACGTTGTTCGCGGAAATTTTAATAGTCTGAATAATGAGCTAGGTCGCCAACTCACTGCTCGTCCGCGAATTTCGATTAAACCACAAGGACGACTGGTGGAAGAAGCATCGCGGGCGCATCGCGGCGGCGGCGGCGGCGACCCGATTGGAGGAGTCGCAATCCAGACGCGGTTCTATCTCTGTATACCTCTCTTCGGCGGGACTTGATTACTTAATTACTATATACCGGCGATCCGTGCATTCTGCGTCGAAGTGCCGGCACTTAAAACACCACCATCGGTTTTTATAAAGTGTACGCTGCCAAGGCCCGTGCGCGAGCGGCGACATGCAAGGTCGTAGATAAGTGACGGTAATGAGGAAGATTCACTGGGTACAGCTGCAGGTGCAGCGCCGATTGTTCGCCGATGCAAATCGAAATAGGCACCGCGCGAGGATGCGTTTCCACGGGAATTGCGCGATGCGTGTCGCACCGTCGGTACGTGTCGATGCCATATGGTGTATTTCTCCTCGGTTGATTATACTGTACGATGCGCAACGTATGTAGGAATCAAGATGGAAGCAATTTTTCATTAATTGAAAAAAGATAATACGACCCTCGGTTGGACGCTTCGTGCAATTACGTTTGAGAAATCTTGGTTATTAGATTAATCAATCTTATTTTCTTATTTTTCAAGTTGTAAAGGTATGCCACTTTTCAAGGAAATTTGTAGTAAAATCGTAAACATTAATTAGGACATGAGTAAATGTCTAACGATCTAATCTATTAAATTAACTAGAAAATTATTCGCATCTTTTTAATACAAAAATTAATTTTTGTATTAAAAAGTATGTTATATATATACGCTTAATTCCTGCATTACGTTTTCATCGTAGAAAAATTAAATGAAAGGTATAAATAAATCGATGTTATGTACAATTTACCTTTTTCGGTGCAACAACCTAAGAGCGTGACGACGTTTGGATGGCTGCCCAATTGCTTCATGATTTCGAGTTCCCGATCTAAATCTTCCTTCTCTCGATCGGAAGCACCTTCTTTGACTGTTTTTACTGCCACTAATCGGGTTGTGCCTTGATGACCTGTCAAATCATCGGCCTCGGCCTTCCACACCTAACAATTCAATTTAATCACATTTCAAATATCTACTAACGAAACTTGAAAAATATTTGATTCCTTTTTAAGATAAACAAATAATTAACTCTTGCATTTTTTTATGTATTTAATTTAAATAATAGCGACGATCATTTTATAAAATAATTTTATAGTCATAATTTCCAATTTCCTCGCGTCTGATCTACGCCATTAGAGACACGATACTTTGGAAAATTTGTAATCTTCACCATGGGAAACAATTACACTGAATCACTGATCCTTTTTGTTACTAGAAAGAATCTATTGCGATAGATTACACGTTCCACAAGTTTTCCCACAATCACTTTCGCATAATTGATTTTCAATTATACCAATATTACGCCAACTACTCATTATTGTATTTCATAAATAGGTACGGCGGTCAAATCGCACATATCGAAAGCTGTTATTACTATTGAAACAATGCGGACAGAATTGCACATGCAGAAGAGTAAACAAAATCGCTTGAGGAGGAATATCGGAAAAAGGGACCACTACGTTTGTTGCGAGAATTACGTTTTCCGTATAAATTTCAGGCGTTTCATAAAATCAGCCTGACAGCCCAGCGAATTACAGGCTCCCCTTTTTTATAGGGATGTCGCAGAAAGTATATTCTCACCTGGCCGAAGTTTCCTTGCCCGAGGACTGTCTGTAATCTAAGCTTATCTCTAGGAAACTCCCATCTGGATTCTTGGGATGGCGGTGGCGATGGTTTCTCAGCTTCGTGACACTGCGGAGAGTCGAGAGTTAAACTGCAGTCTTTAGATTTGTCCAAAAATAGCCGTTAATTCACATGCACGAGAGCAAACGTTAGACGCGTCGTCTGGAATTAATATGTCTCACGCCTATCACTAACGTACAATTTTTTTCCGCGTTAAGGAAACGAACTTCCGGGATTTTCCATTGACGTCTATGCTCTCTACATGTAATGCGATTCCTATGCGAAACGTTATGAAATCAATTTGTTATGTCTCACATGCAAACTCTAAATATTTATTCAAATTATTTCCTCGGCTAAAAGACGGAGAAGACAGCTGTTAATAAAAAAATTGCATTGATAAAATTAATATCTCACTATTAACGTGTATGTTTTTTACTCCAAATACGTTTTTGCGCGATCTTTAAATAATTTAAACGAGAAAAAACTCGCATTACGCACCGATCGCGTCGAAAAAGCTGTGCAAACAATTACTATGTGACTGCTGTCTCATTAAATATGCAGAACGTTCGTTAATTTCTCACCAAGTGCTGTATCCTCGGTAGCTTTGTGATCGCCTTCTCGATGGACGTCTTGAAGTCGCCGTTTTCGAGATTAAGAGCGTCCTTCCTACAGCTTATCTCCGATGACGTGTCCGACTCCTCGAGCACCTGCATAAGCAAATCAACGTCAGCGCAACGTGTATGCAACATGCCGCTCGCACGCGCGTCGGGGAGCCGCTTGAATCGGTCGTCACTCCCATTTAATTGGGAAGCGCAATGCCGCGTGGCAATGAAGATCAGCGAGGCAGATCAAGGCGCCCCGAGAATATTTCCGTGAATAATATGGTTGATATAAAATGCGACGACTATACCGCGATTTTACGGAAATACAACGCCATTTCTTACAATGGCGAAAAAAGACGCGCGCAAATAACACAAAAATAATGACCAACTGTGCCCATCGTGGCTTTCGAAAAAGTTAAATCAACTACAATCGCGTTGAAGTGTGATTTTTTTCGGAGCATCTTGAAGTATTTTTAATTGAGAATAGCAACAACGGGAGTAATGTTATATATAGGGATCATGTAAAGGCGAGTGTTGTCTTACATTATATTTTTTACAGTTGATATAAGTTTATAAATAATTTCTTTTATGTTTGTAATAAAATAGAAAAGCGATAAAATTATATTAATTTTAAAATTTAATCTTGCACCTGTTTCTGTTTCTAACCTTATTCTCTCTCTTCCTCGTACATCTGTAATTGCTCTGAGCTTAATAAAGAAGTTCTTAATGTACAGAGAGTTTTGAGTTTTCCTTACTAAATCAATATTAAAAACGCAGCATCAGCATTTTGGCAAGTTGTTTTTTATTTAAAAGGTGCAAATTGGAAATTTGCAAAATGCAACATTAGCATTTTGGCAAGTTGTCTATTCAAATTTGGCTTCCTCATAGAGGAAGCTTTGTGAGTTAATGTGCAAATTAAAAATTTGGAAATTGCTCATTCTAACTTGTAAAAATGCAAATTGGAAATTTGGAGATTACTTTGTCATCATGAAGGAAATATTAATCAATATTAATCTAAATCAATATTAATATAAAAACTCAATAATTACGCGACATATTATCATGCACAGATTGCTTTGAAGAACATCTCTAGCCAAGAATCGCTTATGTTGTGCGAGAATCGTGTGAAAAACTTTGCTTGTCGGCGGCAAAATTTCAATCTCGAAGAACATAGCATGCTCGAGTTTAACATCGGGGCTTCGGGCGAGTCCCAAAACGATCCCCCTTATTTATTTGGTCCCTGTGTGTACTCGTCCTTTCTACCTCCTCCCATTTGCGTACTCCTTTTTTACCGTCCACGCAAACCTTTACACCGCCATTCAGATTTATTTCCATGACTGTCAGATTAAATTTAAATTTATGTTCACGTTATTATTTATGAATGTCCCGCCGGCGTGAAAGCATTTCGCTTATGTCATTTCCGGAAATTTTGTGGCTTGCACCATTAATTCCGCTATAGCTTCTGACACCAAAAAATGTTTAACGCTTGTTATTTGTAAGAAATGGAATTTCCGCAATAAGAAACTGTAATATACAATAGAAATGTGGTACACCAAAAAATATTACGACAAAGAACAAATATCGAGCTACGAATTTACGATTAATATTTCGGTGGAAGCACGTTATCGATGTAACAATTAATAATAAATGCAATGTTTGGCACAAATATTCTTATTTTCTGATGTAATTCTCTCGACGAGGCTTGTATAAAAAGATTTTCGACCTTCGACGCAACGTTCTTGTCGGGTATCCGAGGAAAATTCCGCGGAAAAAGAATCATCATAGATAATGAGCCGAACAATTTTCGCATTATCCAACGGCGCGTTCATTTTCTCATTACTATAACGTGCCACGTTTCATCCAAAGATACTGCGCTCGAATCATCCCGAGATTATTCTGCATACAATGAACTTGTAGTAATTGTCGAGGGTGAGGAGAAGGGGATTATTAACCATTTCATGAATCATCGCGAAGGTAGTCTTCGCGATAGAGTTCTTCGATGACCGCGTTTGATATTCATTTACGACGAAGTCACGGCCGCGACAACGCGTGGCATGAAATTTGCAAGTTGCGAGAAAAAGTAATAATTACAAATTCGATTCTATAGAAATTTCAATCTCGAAGATAGGCTCCTAATATGAAATAGCGGAGTTCCTGCCAAATTAATAGACGTCATTATGTTGGCTCCACCATGAATTTATTGCCCTTGGAGTGAAATCTGTTTAGTGGAAAATTGATTGCTAGATTGTGTTATCGTTGCGAGAAAAGATTTGTGATTGAATTTGGACGTTGAAAACCTGCTATCTCGTATTAGAATCCCATCTCATAATAGAGAAGTTTCCTCTATCAATTTTTTTTTATTGTTCAGTTCTCAAACTTGCGGTGTCTCATTATGAAACCTGTTTTAATTAAAATAACGCGGCTCTTCGGGACGGTATATTTTGATAATTATGGACCTAGGCTACATTCTGGATCAGCAATGATCGATAACAACGGCGATTCAGACATCATCAACATGCGCGCTGTCGCGCTAATTATCAAAAAGTTAGTGCAATTCCGCGGGATAACGAACGTCGCTGTTAATACGATGGCCGTACGATATACGCTTACATGCAATGATAATCCCGGTCATGCCGTGTAACGGTACGTAAGTGGCACTGCTGCGTGAACGACGATTTGTACCTCAGCATCCCGGTGTGCATCAATTAAAAACGGAGTTGCACGCGGCGCTTTTTCATCTCCCCTCCCCTCTCCGCCGTTATTTCTTCCGCTGGTATGATAATCTCGCGACCACACTCGAGACTAGATCTGATCTCCAATTAAATCATAGTGTTCTATGAGTCATATCAAAATGGAATATTGTATTGTTTGTTAAAGTCATTAAGCGATATGTCTGTCTTGTCCCTTGCTCACGTCATCGAGAAATATAAGTTTCGATTGGTCTGAATTTTTGCTTCCTTCAATATTTTTCTCACAAAGTTTTGACAATAATTACGTAACATCTGTTAATATTCAATATTAAAGTTCTGTTATAGAAGAAAGTCCCTCATTACGCGATAGCGGAGTTTCTGCTAAATTAATAGGCGTCATCTGTTGGTTCCATCGTAAATTTATTGCTCTTGGGAGTGAAATCTGTTTGGTGGAAAATTGATTGTTAGATCGTCTAATCGTTGCGAAAAACGATTTGTGATTGAATTTGGACATTGAAAACCTGCTATCTCGTATTAGAATCCTATCTCATGATAGAGGACTTTCCTCCGCTAAACACAATAGAACTGAAGAATTGAGATGGCATGAAAAGCTTACTTGAGTTTGAATCGATATTAAGGTACCTAATTATACTTCAGAAACACAGCTTGTTAGTAAAAATCCCTTGTAAAAATAAAATTAAGGAAAAGATTCCCGCAATATTTCGTATTACATATTTTCAGTGATAAAGATTACGTGTTGCTAGTCTCGTATTCTTTTATTAAAACATCATATCTGATATCCGCAAAGCTTTCCTTCCGAGTAGCTCTCTAACAGCCACGTGTCTTCGACATTTAAGCGGATTTAAATCGCGCCTACCGGTTCTCCAATCGCTATATAGACTCCGTCTCGGAAAAGAGAAAGACGAAATATCACGAATCGATCTAGAGCGTGGCGCGGCGATTCGCGCATACTTTCTAATCCCGATCTAAGTTAAATCGATCGCGCGCTAAGCGACCTCGAAACCTCCAACTCACTCACCTTACGATTCCTAAGTATCAGTCTTCTGAGAATGAGCCCGACGCCGACGGCGATGGGAAAGACGACGAGAGTGGCAAGGATATAGCCGACTACGGCGACTGTCTCCTGAGTGGCGATCACGTCGCCGTCGTGCCGCTTCAATATCACCTCACTGACGTTCATCGATTCCCGCGGGCTCACCGAGATCGGCTCGCCGGTCTCGAAGAACGTCCTGTTGAGCCCACCGGGATGATACATCGTGCCGTTGTACTCCGGCAGGATCGAGTGATGATAGGCGGGCCTGTACCGCGTTTTGTTGGCCGCAGACGCGAAAGAGGAGCCTTTCGACACCGAAGGGACGACAGTATCCTGGGACTCCCGATTTTCCTCAAATTTGTCCTTCCGGGAACTCGTTGGATTTACGGTGGATTCCTTAAACTTGGGAACAGGAACGGTGGTCGATGTACTTCTATTGATTTCCGTGTTATTGACAGCCGCTATTAATTCGGGACTTTTCTCCGTGGTTGTCGTCGTAGTCGTTGTCGCTGTTAACGTCGTCGTCGCGGGACTGTCTTCGTTTTGCGATTCAGAATCCACCGGAAGCACTACCCGCGGTCGTTCTGTGCCGCGAGCCAACCCGTCCATCGACCCGCTGCCGTTGAAGATGTCCGACGTGTTGTACAGATGCATGATCGGCAACACATCGTCCTTGTCTTTCGACTTGTCCGATAAATTACGCGCTCTGACTTCCGGCGATCTCTCGCCGGACATGCGTTTCCCGTTCTCCGTTACCGTAGGCGTCGATGAGGTAGGCAGGACTTTTGACTTTCTACTCGAAGTCTCATCCACGTGAGTGTCAGTCTGAGTCGGCGAAACCGTTGTCGTCGACGTCGTCGTCGTCGTCGTCGTCACGTCTTTAGCTCGATACCTCTTCTGGATCTCTGATGGATCCAGATTGTTCGCTTCCTTTGCAATGTCCGTTGGCATCAAAGTGTGAGCTTCCGGATCGACTGTGGTCTTTTCCACCTCCGTCAGTATTCTAGGTGTAACCGGGAAAACTGGTGCCGCCGGCACTGTCGTCGTTGTCGTCGACGTCGACGTCGTCGTAATCGCGACCATCTCGTCGACTTGCTCGGTCACTGTCACGGTCGTCTCGACGACGTCGTCCGTCGTTGCGTTTACGTCACTCTCGGTCTTGTTCGACATCGCGGCACTTGGATCGTCTTCAACATTGCTTTCGATATCGCTTTCATCGTTTAAACTTGACACCGTAACGACATCCTCCTCAAGAACCTGAGGCTTCGCCAGCTCCGTCGTCGCGATCGCGTCAACGAGGACGGACGGGTCGGTGGCGTCCACCGTCTCGTCAGTCGCACTCGAATTTCGATTCAAGATCCCCATGACGGTGGTTTCCTGCGAACTGCTGTCACTCGGCACTTCGTTCACCCCGCTGGCACGCGAAACCTGCCGAAAAGAATCGGCACCTGGCACTTCATCGTCCGAAACTTTCCCGCGATTCGCAGCCCGCGTCCCGTTCGACGATCGATCGTTCGCCACTAATTTATCCGTAGCACCCTCGATCTTCTCTTCGCCGGACTTTACCCTCCTGGTACCGTTCAAAAAGGACACCCCGCTCGAAGAAGTCAACACCCTGCGGCGCTTGCTCGCCGTCAGGGACGAGGATTCTTCGTTGACAGTAGATCTTTGATTTAACACCGCGCTGGCGCTCTTCCGCAAGAATCTCCGATCATTAGCACCCTCCTGCTCGCTAGTCCGCGACTTGGTGTTGTTCCACTTGACCGATCCTCTGTATCCGGCCTCTGGCGATTTAACGGATCTCGTCGCCGCGATAACGCTATCATTCGCGGCTGAATGCGACGAGGGCCAGGTCGCTGCTGTCCGTTGGCTGCTCGCTCGTTGCTGCTGCGGAACGACTTTCCTGGCTCGTTCCCCCTCCAGACCGTCGACAGCACTGGGTAACGCTCCAGCGACTGCGGCTGGCTCGATGGTCGCGCCGGCACTGAGTCCCGCCGGCGTTCGTGCCGGTTCTATACTGCCATCGCTGGCACGAGGAAGCAGAAGAGGAGAAGACGGCGGCGGCGGTGGTTGCTGCTGCTGCTGCTGAGGCCGCTGCTGCGACGGTCCACCGCTCGTTATCTCGGCACCGCTACCAGCACGATGACCAACAGCACCACCTTCTCCTCGCCTTTCCTCCTCGCCGCTTAATCCGGGTCCGGTGTAGTTGCGCAACAATCGCGTCACGTTCGTTATCGTATAGGCGTACACGTGTTGCTGCGGATGTTGCTGTTGCTGTTGCTGCTGCTGCTGCTGTTGAGACTGTTGATCCGAGTCAACGAGGACAGGTGCTGATGACTCCGTCGTCAGAGGCGACGTCGATGACGGCGATGATTTCGGAGCGATATCGCCGCTGGTCGACGCGCGAACCGGTCGATCCGCGACGGGATCCGTGACCGGTTGCTGTTTAACGGTATTCCGATGGGTCCGCTCGCTCTCGATCGCGAAACTCGAGAGCCCGAAGCTGTCATCCGGCACCACGATTCGTAGCGTCGACGATTCCTCACGGAGCCTCGCGCTCGCTCTCTGCAGCGTTGCCGCCGCTCTCTCGGCGCTCGTTAACTTGTGCTCCGATTTGTCCGCGTTCCCTACTTCCGTCTTCATTTCGGTGACCTTCTTCTCGCTGTCCTTCCCGAAATCGTTCGTTGTCCTCGAAAGACTCCCGGCGACTCCGTCCGTCCCGTTTGTTAGTTTCGCGTCGGTCGCACTCTCCACGGTGATCCTCGCCTCGGCATCGTCATCAGATTGACGTTGCCGCGGTATCTGGGTCGTGCTCGCCTCGGTGACATGGGCTGCGTTTCCTCTCTCTTGCGGGACCCGATCGCGGAGGAATTTTTCATCTACCGCATTCATCTCGCTCCTCGTTTCTGACCCGCTAACAATACCGGGGCTCGACTCGTTCCCTGGAATAACGTTGGATACGACGTCCGCTGTAGGCCTCGGTTTCCGGTAGTACAGCCCGTTGCTCGAGCTCCTGAACATGTTTTTCATCCTCGACACCTGATTCTTCTCGATTGTCCGTCGTTCTAACGTTTCCAACGCAATATTCATCTCGTCATTCATTATCTCCTCCACCGGCGCGGATATCGTCGCGCTGAATCTCTTTGTGGAGTACCTTCTGCGAGAAGAGGTCGGATTCGTCGATGTCGTCTCCACGGAGTTATTGTTGTTGCTATTGGTGACGTTTTGGGCGTCCGGCTGAAGTTTCTGGCCGAAATAAAGAAACTGCGACATATCTTCCACCGGAATATTGCTCTCCACTGGTCGGAAGTGGTTGTACAAAGACTCTGGCATCGCTACGGTGTTCTTCTTGCGCGTATCCGCGTCTCCCAATTTTGGATTGGTGAATACAGTCAGCGTTGGAGCGATTGAAGAAAACGTCGAAGAAGCATTCTCGTACTTCTCGGTCGTCGACGCCGACAGAGCTTCGTTTTTGAATGTATTCGCGGTTTGCGGTTCCGCCTCTACTTTCATGGCATCGAGATTGACCATAGAAACGACTTTTTCGATTGATTTCCTCGACGATGGCGGAGTTTCCTCTTCCACTTCCGTTCGCGCGTTTGTGACGTAAATGTCGTGCCTGGTCTCTTGGGTTTCGAGGATATCTGGAAGATCCTTCGAGACGATATCGCCAGGTCGTGGCCTACGACTCGAGAGGTTCCGAGTCGTAGGATCATGTAAGCGTTGATTTAGAAGCTGTCGCCTTCTTGCAGTGAGAATGTTGCGTAGCGCCTGCTCGCGTTTAGCCTTCGACGACGACAGTTCCGCATGTACGGATGTGCGTCCACGACGGTGATCTGTGACTGACGCATCTGCGAACAAAGATGGAATCTCTGACATGGTAGATGTCTGACACTCTTTGCCTCCAGTAAATTTAATATATGTATAACAGGGCATAGATTTAATTTTGATAATTTGCGGAAAAGAATAATTATATAGGTAGATATTAGTTATACATCAATAAAATGTTAAAAAATAATCGTTGAATTTCATTCTTCTTACTTTAGACATATTTCTTATTTATAAGAAATAATTTTAGCATCAAGACATTCTAAAGTTCTTTATGAGTTATTATCGCTCTCGGAATTAAAGTAAAGATTTCATTTGCTTCCATTGAAAATTAAAATTAATACATCTTGTTTGCGATAATTACACTTTATACTTAACTACGCCACGATATACATTGAAGAAATGCGTCTTAAACGCGGTTTCTAAATGTTAATTGATCGCATGCGAAACGATACTATGTGTAACTGAAGCGATTATAGGTTCCGGTTCGTTCCCGCACGGTTCCGGCGACGGAGAGGGGAATTTTCTACGAACGGATTAATGCGAATCGCCGTTCGCAATCATCATTCGTCAGGGGATCTCGGTGAAAACCGGAAGAACTTGACCGCCTCCTCTTCACGCTACACAGCAAACGTAATTAAGTTCTCAATTATATTCGCTGCGCGTGCGACGTGCGAAACGAAAGAAATTCTCGCGGAGAGAAGTTCTTCACGTAACGGTGTTTTCCTCAGGGTCGCGAATGGCCAAGTGGGTTTGAGGGTACGAGAGATCCGGTACCGTTACCTCCTCACGGTTCCATGTGCCCAACAGGCGCACCGCTAATAATCGTCTGTCGCGATTGTAAAAACGGTCCGAGTCGCGCTCGTGGATCCGACATCTCACTCGAATTCGTTCAAAAACACCTAAGCATCACGCTGTTACCAATATTCATAGACTTGAGGCTCCTGTGTCCACGATGCTAGAATTTGGTTCAAGTTCTAGTTTCGAGAAATCATCTGCAGCTTTTATGGAAGAGATTGGTGAAAAGAAAAACAGCATTACAGACGGACGATCTCTGTCCTTCAGCTTGCCCGTATGAAAGCGCACCTGTATAAGTCTATGGTTACCAATATCTCCATGTGTTATTTTTTACATATGATTAAAACTTTTAATGACAAAGCTTTAAATAAATAGTCGGTTTTCTTTAGCGAATTGACTCTCGTAAAAAATCTTAGGTAAATAAGAAATAACAAATGAAAAACTTCAGTCCAACGTTATTATATACACATAAACTCTTTCTTTAAGCTTCGTACTCGCGAGCGAGCTTCTCGTTCCTCTGTACTTATGCCCAAGAATTGCTCCTCGCGGTTTTCTCATGGTACAATAACGTCCGCCGACAGCCATATCGTGCAGATAATGGGCGTTGCTCGTTTCGCTTCGCTTCGGAAATTCGTTCGTACTGCAAAATGCCGAAGAACGCGCGCCATAATCTCTACGTACATGTTTCGCTGAGGGATCATTAAGAGCTCGCCGGCAAGGATTGAGAAGAGAAGATGCCGCGCGTCACGAATTTATTCTCTCATTGTCCGCGTAAGCGGGCCCGACGCCCGAAGCGAACGTTCCTCGAATCGACAAAAACCACGAGGGACGACACAGCTGTAACGAACTTAATTTACAACGACGTAAAAGTTCGGCTTGTCAGCTCGTTAAAATGGTTCAATAGATACTTTCGCGACAACGTGAATGATTCTAACGCCCCGTGAGAAGGGCCTCGTGGATTCGGGGATTATTGTGACATACGGCGGCTCGGTTTTTATCCGCAATTCTCCATCCAACGCACATTGTTCTGCGTTAAAATGTTTTCTGCGGCTTCGAAATTGTAAACTTAACGTCGATGCGTTTTGAGAAGTTACAACTCTGTAGGGATTTGCGAATATTTTTGTAACTATGGAAACAGATGATATGTTTTGGATAAGAGAATTGTATGGGGAAATCTTTAAAATACTTTATGGGAGAAGAAGTGATATTTGAAGATATGTAAAAGTTCTTTTTTTCCATAAAGAGCTTTTCAAGTTGCGAGAGCTGAAACGTTCGTCTTGAATTCTGAACTTCGACTTACTCAGAAACGATAAAAGATTACTCAAACATATGTATTGTATATATGGTAAAGATAGATTTCTGACTGCTGGGATAATAACTTGTCACCGTGCATATGGCAATCCGTATGTCACAATAATCCCCGAGACATTGCAGGCTCCACAAGTGCAGTTCAACATCTTAAAGATACATTTCAACGAAACAGATATTCCGAACGTGCAAATCTCGATGTGGAATCCGCCCCGTTGTGGAGCCCGCTTATAAATATACACGAGTATCCTGCCAACCCAAGCTCTGAATAATGCAGTCTGCCTAATCTCGACCGAAATCGCGGGAATTGTCGTCTAACCTTCTACTCCACGCGGAATTTTCACCAGTTTCGAGAAGGCATAAAGTATAGAGATCGTGAAACGTGACAAACAAGAAAACGAAGAAATCCGAGAATCCTGCAACGAGTATAATAATTCGGAAAATGCCACTTAATTTCGGCATTTAAATTGACGAACAGTAAAAAAATATATAATTGCATCTTAAATGTTGAATATCTGCTAGGTACTGTGCTACAAACGCTGTACTTACAATTAGTCTAGATTCAAAATAGGTAACCGCAAAAATCGCAGTGTGCATTACGAAAGCGCGAGAAAGATGGATAGAGAGACAAGGCCCACTGTCGCGAGTCCGCGAATTGTCGTCGCGGACGTGACCGCGTCGTAATATTTTATGTGGACACGTGTATGAGGAAGGTCAGTGTTGCTTCTGTTCTTGTTCCGTGGGTCCCGGTCCCCCGAGTCTTGACGGCCGCGGACTGGCTGGCTGGCTGGCTGGCTGGCTGGCTGGCTGGCTGGCTAGCTGGCTGGCTGGCTGGCTGACTGCCCGAGTGAACTACAATGCGGGCACGTGAGATGACTCCGAGATGTGTCACAAACTCCCGGACTGGACCACGAGAACAGTCCCAGATTCGACGTGAGATGCGTGAGTCCGGGTACCGCGAGTCACGCATACCGCTTTACTGTCCCACTTCCATTATGAGGTACAATTCGGCTCTTTACCTTTTATTTTTTTTATCTTAATGCCTCTTTTGTTATCGCAACAAACGCGCCCACCGTGCATCGCGGTGCGATTTTCATATCTTCGACGCAGTGCGTTCTCACGCCGACGAACAGCCTTTGTTCCAAGAGGGGAATTGTTGCCAGCACGGTTCTGTGAAATTATCGAGTGTTCACGCAGTATTCGTGTCGAAGCTCCGATTGCGAGAACAATAAAATAATAGTAGCTGCGTAATAATTGACGTATTTTCCATGAACATTAGCTTTAAGTCGTTTCTACGTTTATATTATTTCTCAGAACGGCGTACTTTATAGCTGAGATATCCTAACAAATAATCGTAATCTCGCATAGTGTTTCAATTTCGTCTGCTTAAGCAATCTACATGAATTTACCTCTTCTATTATTTATTACCACATTTATTCTCCTCCCGTTTTTAACTTATTTTAATTTCAGTCCATTCATAATTCAGAAATAATTGTAGTCTTGCAGAAGTTTTGCGTTGTACCATCGATATGGGTTCAGTACAGATTTATTGATAAACTTATTGTTTTACCCCTCATTTCATCTGGATGGTAAAAATTCCTGCTATGCGTGTTGCATGCACGATATAAAAATTGATAAGTCTTAATAATCGCGTCGCGCGGAGTTTGCACGTGAAGCCGACAGGAAGTAAGTTTCCTGATGCAGTTAGCAGATGTTAGAGAGTAAAGTGGCGGTTGCGGCTTAAGGTGTCATAATATGTCTGTCCACATGGCAAATATGTCTCTATCACCAGCGCTATTATGTAATATTAAAGGTGATACACTCTAAGATATTCCGTGATACCGCCGCGCGACTCCTCGCTTCTTCATCGGCTTCCGAAACCTAATGCCGCTTAGCGAAGCGCGATTGCAGCAGATAAATAGCAGATAAACATTTCAAGCTTGTAGTCACCCTTGCATACACGTGTAACACGATGTGATCCGAGCTATGTGTGAGTATTCAGACACGCGTGAAAATCTTTGACAGAATATTTTTGCTCTTCCTTCACTCGATTTTAAAGATAATTTTTCTAAATCTTTCACATCTATTAATAAAACTTAATTTACAAGATTAACTTGAGTAAAAAAAATATTCTCCAATCTGAATAAAATCGCAAAAATATATTTAGTTACGTTAAATTCTCATTAATACTACACGTCTGTATCTTTCTTAACAAATAAACAAATGTTGATTTCGTGTGTTTAATTTGAAAGTTTAATCTCACATTTTTCTTAACAAATTAATTGTCGATCTCATATGTTTAATTTTAAAGTTTAGAGATGGAAAATTAGATAGTTAAATCTCTCTTTCTCGAGTGTCTTAAAAAATTATTATTAAGATCAATTAAAAATCTTGTATTAAAAGAGCAGTGTCTCGTGCCAAGTGTACGCGCAGCGAGATCTTTCTATACATATATAATACATCTCTCGGCGCACGAAGAACAATGACAGAACGCGTCTTAACGTTGTATTAGTCTTCTTCGAGAAGCGGTTTGCCAATGAGAACTGCTCTCTGAGCCCTTCACAATTTATATGTCCCGTTTCAAGGGGGGGTCGCTTTGTTGACTGGATTTTTAGGGTCGCGTTAGTCCCTCGTGTCGAAGATAACCCTCCGGGTTGCTTCGTATCTATGAATATTATCTGCGGCTTTATTCACAGAGCCTTGGCCCCGGCGATGATCTCGATGTCACGAGGACTCGCGCAATGGCTCAATATTACGGTATATACCCGCGAGCATTTAGTCCCATCGGATCGATGATAGAAAAAGAAAAGGGCAGAGTCACGATTGGTTGGTAGCCTGATATATCATCAATTGCGCTAACATATAATATTTTTATTTAACGTAATTTAAAATTATTTTATTTAAAAATAATTTTCAA